AGCAACTGCCATGTGATTGGTTGATTAGATAATTGCATTAATGAGAAATTGAACAGGTGTTCCTAATAATCCTTTAGGGGATTAGTGTAATTATATATATATAATGGTTGAGTTTCATATCCCCTTGATTGAGTGTTGGCTAAATTTTAAGGTCCCTGCCTTAAATATTTGGGTGCACTGCCCTCTTGTGGTAAGATGAGGAAACTCAGGCCAATCCAGTAGGGAGACCTGGGATGCCTGTAACACGGGTTAGTTGTAACAAAGTCTATTTCTCAAATCAGGAACGAGGTACAAATTGTATGACTCACTCTGCACATGCGTACTTTAGTCTTTATTTCACATGTGAAGGAGCAGTACCCTGTAACAAACACAGTCAGATTTGGAAGGAAAACAGACATTTAGCTTAATTTATTTTTCTGATTGCACTGCAATCTTTGTACTTACATTACGCAAGCTTAAATCATTTTTATTATGTGCCTGTGTAAATATCTTTTACACAAGTTGTGAGTGATAATATTGTTGCTCTTAGTGGGAAGGTAAAGTTGTTCATGGCTACCACAGACTGATGTAGTTGTAACGGTGATTCTCCAGCTACACAAAATGCTACTTCTCAATGAAACTTCTGCATTGTGTGTGTGGAACATTTCTAAGTCAAAGGAAAATTGGGTGAAATGCACAGACTGGGGGTGGGGAACCTGTTCGATGGAGAGCCGGTGTGGGTGCAGGTTTTTAGGATGACCTCTCAGTCAGCCAATAACAGTGGGTCCTCAGGGCTGGAGCTGAGCACTGCTGTTTTATTATTTGTTGATTGAGAGGTCATCCCAAAGACCCGCACCGGCCCTCCATGGAACAGGTTCCCCACCCCTGACATAGACTGTACAAGGTGGGCCTAAGAATCCTATACACCAATATACCTGACGCCTGTGTGATTCTGATGGTGACTAACATCACACATGCACACACGCGCACACACACACGCACACACACACACACACACATGCGCACAGACATGCACACCTTATTCAGTTGTTAAAACTGAATAAATCATTTTAAAACTGTTAAAACTTTTGTTTGGTTTTATTATGAACTTTTATTTTAGTTTAGTTTAGTTTATTTTAGATTAACATGCATTGTACGCCTACACATACATACCTATAAATTATGTTGAACAAAAAAAATTAAAAAACTTTGAATAACTTGAATTTATTTTTACATCATTTATAATGTTACATTTAACCCAGGGCTGTGTTACAGCTATTCCTGATTATGGGGTAAATTGCAACATTTCACCCCATGTGTTTGAGGCTAAACCATTCATTGTCTGTTTTTGATACAGAGATAAAACCTGTGCTGTTTAATAGACGGCATATGCAGGTAGTTTGTACCCAACTTTGAATGCAATTCAGTAAAAGAGCTCCAAGGTACAAGCAAAAATGTAAAACACGTTACAACCATCCCCAGTCTCCCCTAATGCAGCTCAAGTGCAAAGGAAGCCATCAGTGCTTCAGGCAGTGTTATCTCTGTAGCTTTGTGCCACGTTTTTTTGTACGACACTCCTAAGTTCTTTTAAGCAGGTTACGGTCGATGTTGCCGTGTTTATTCAGTGTTGTCTACCTGTGTGTCTAACGAGTGACTCATATGTCATTGTCTGCTGATGTTGTACATTGTTTTACAGCTGAGAATGACCAGGAACTGTAGGGGATGCAGGGCTGCAGTTGAGGAGTAATGTTGTACCATATAGATAACTAACGGAATTAAATAGTTTCAAGAATGAAGTATCTCTACTTATGTGCTATATACAGCTGTGGAAAAAATTGAGACCTAAGACAGCAGTACGCAAGAATAAGGTGAAGCAGGAGACACTGAGAATGACCAGAAACCAACCAGGTAGAGGGAGGAAGTGACTTTCTAATGCCAGTGATGATGTTAACGTATCCGGCAGTGCCTCATAAATTGTAGGGTGACATTAAGTGACCTTCAAAAGGAATGGGAAACAGTAAGTGCAGGTGTGAAGTGCACTGCTAGGACAGTTCATGTCAGGATCCTAGAAGCAGGACTGAAGTCCCATAAAGCAAGGAAGAAGCCCTTCATCAATGAGAAACAGAGAAGAACCAGGTTGCAGTTTACAAAAAATATATTTTCTTCACAGAGGCACAGCCATAAAATGACTGAAACAAAAAATGTGCCATGGTCTCTTTATTTTTTCCACAGCTGTATATTGCGCTTCTCTCTTAACAGTTTAGCCATTTCAAAACTTCTCCTCAAGTCACCAGTAATTGCAGTAACTGAGTACTATGCATTTAATTAACCTAAATGTCTGTTTTCCTTCCAAATCTGACTGTGTTTGTTATAAAGTTGTAAGCATATAAATGTCCAAAATGTCTTGGTATGCAAACCTATTTCTCTTTGCAGTAAGTGTATATTTGCACAGACATTACAGTACATTCAAATAAACTGTAATACAATCAAAAAGTATCACTTCGCTATCCTGTCCTCAGGGGCATCCCAGCCATTCCACGTGTTTCATAAATTTCACCACCGGCTCAATTAATTAATTAACTAAATTTGTAAATTGACTTGATAAGATGCACTGTGATGGGTTGGTGCCCCATCCTGGGTTGTTCCCTGCCATGTGCCCCTAGCTTCCAGGATAGGCTCCGGACCCCCCGCAACCCGGAATATGACAAGCGGTTACAGGAAATGGATGGATGGATGGATGGATGGATGGATGGACCTTAATGAGATATCGGTCAGTGAGTTAAATGCATAGTACCCAGCTACTGCAAATACTGGTGACTTGAGGAGAAGTTTTGAAATGGCTAAACTGACACACTTATACCAACATAAACCATCGCATTACAGAAAGAAAGAAAAAAATGCACACATGTACACACACAGGCTATATAACTACATATATATATATGTATGTAGGATGTATGTATAGACTCATCCTCAACTATGAATAGGATGAGCGGTTGCAGAAAATTGATGGATGGATGGATATATGAAACCATATATTATATAATCCATTAGCATGGCTGAAGTTCTGTGCCGAAATACTTCCTTACTAATGTAAATGAGAGCAAGCACCCGGAAGCCTGTCTGGGGGAAGCCATTACAGATCTGTGAATGGGCTGTTGTTTCATTTCCCTCGGCCGCCGTCCAAATCCCTTCCTGATCCCTCCCCTCACAATGCCGCTCTCTCTCTCTCACCATAACGTTTCTCACAGTGGCGCCCCCCTCTGGAGGTTTTGTGCTTCAGCCAAACAGAAAGCACTGACACATTACATAATTTTGACATTAACACCGTTTGCCCCTTTTTATGCACTTTTTCTACTTGCGCAAAGGCGAAATTTGATCTATGGAGTTACATTCAGGTATTAAGAAGGTATTTTTTAAAGGCAAATTTAATTTGTAAGTCATCTTAATTGTAAATATCTTGATTATATTATAATTTTAAAATATTAGGTTAGAAAATAAACAAAAAGGTCACATAGACGTTGCCTTATATTGACATTTAAAACATAAACTGTACAAGGTCTCAGGCGTCAGTTCTGGGGCAGTTTCGGAACCACAGCACAGCTTCGTAAGTTTTCGGCTCGCGGTCCCTGTTTCGGACGCCGCTGGCCGTCTCTCTGCGGCCGGAGCGCGCATGCGCGGCGCAGCCCTGGGGGCTGCGCTGGAGACCAGACGCACACGCAGAGCGGAGGGGATGTGAAATGCGCCGGCATCCTACGGTCGCTGTCAGTGTCACCCGCCGGTGACGCCGTCGCTATGACACAGTACCTCTGATCGCTCCGATACTGGGACAGGCGGCTTACTGTTAAGAGAGAAGCGCTGGAGATTGAGACAATATAAGAAAAGAGAACACTTGGCACAGGTAAAGAAGTGGCTTTTAAAACTTAAATGGTGTTAAATGATGTGTCAGGCAGCGCCCTTTAGCCTTGCTGGGGCAGAGAGGCGAAGTGGTCTGGCTGCTCAGTCCGGGGTCCTAGCTGATGTCGATTAGTCAGCACTATAAACGACCAGATAATTAGATTTCTACTACACTGGCATTGCTTTGCATTGATTTTAAGATAAGATTGATTCCTTTACTTTTGTCGCGGGTCCAAAATGACATGCAAAATGTAATAACACGTTTCCGAAACAGCCTTTCTAAAGTATTAATTTGTGGGTTTATATTAATTGTAATTTGATTGCTCTTTTCTAATGCTAACACTTGGAAGCCCTAACACCTAGGGAACACTGAGGTAGCCTACATTAATACATTCACCTACATTAATACATTCACCTACTGTACATTTAATACCGACCTGTGTACATCCTAATGTAACTGCCGTAATGGATTTCGACAAAGCTATTGATTAAACCTTGTATTAAATACTGAAGTGCAGCAATAGTATACTTAGTAACAGCGAGCGAAACAATTTCAGATTTAACTGATTAAACTGAGTTTTGTTGCCTTTTATATCTGAATCTTGCTGCCAATTTCTGTGTGTTATAAAGTAGCAACATTGTTATACTTGTCCTTTGTATTCGTTTTCATATTTTAGGGAATTTTAGTTATCATTATTTTTTCTGTATAATATATATACTATAAAATGGGAAAAATGTTTGGACAAAGGCGATTTTATATATTGTTTATATATGTCAACTTTTTGTTGAGCTTGTTTGTACATAACAAGAAATGGATATCACGGGAAGACTGTCTACAGAGTATTTTTGAGTTCCATCAATTGTAGGGGCAAATCATGTGAAATAAATATATACATTTATATCTCTAAAAAATCAATAAGGCGAGTTTACTGTCTCGTTCTGATTTTTAAAGGGCATTTTGCAGTCGCGAAAGATCGGATTCCCTTATAGCCTCTAAGCTTTTGCGAGCGAGTTAATTTTTTGACTGTTATGTCTCTACTCCCTCTCTGTGTAACAGATACAGAGATTAAAAGCAAACAGATAGCAGGCTTTCACTTTGACCTACTGTAGCTATACAAACAGAGACCTACGGTAAGGGGGATGGGGCGCCTGTTTGATACTTTAAATAAAATTAAAATCAAAGTTTAGATGTTCGTCTTCATGAAACATTACCGCTGTTGTTATTATATTACTTGGATTTAGGTTATATGCTGAGTAAATGTATTTTTGATGCTTACTTTTATTGAAAATCCATGATGAATATAGAATCATTCTGTTTACTATACTAAAATAAAAATTACGAGCTGGATAGAAATGTATTACTCATCAGCACGTGTGTGCACTGCGTGTGGTTTGCATTTCCATCGTTCATGTGTGAGGTCCGAAACTTAGAGAAAGGACTTTTTTGCCATTAAAGTCGTTCGACGATGCTGTTAAAGGAGCTGGAGAGAAACGCGAGAGCACGGAGGAGCGTGTTGTGAAGCTGGCGCCGTGCCACGTGGGCAGCCAGTTGTCGATGTTTCCAGAATCAATAAGGATCCGGGAGTCGAAACATTCATGGAAAGATGGAAATGAGCCGTAGTTAGCAGTGTGGTTCCTACTGTAAACGCAGCACAGATCGCTTATACACCGCAATAAATACATAACTGAAAATCTAATGTTTCTTTATTGTTTACATCCAACCTTCAGCTGCTTGCACATTACTGGGTCAATTTGGGGGGGGGGGGATATAAGGCTGGGAACACCCTGCGTGGGATGCTGAACACACACACACATACACACATAAACCTGTATTCATATCATTGTGATGACCGTCCATTCGTTTCTATGGCCAAACTCTAATCCCAATATGAAGAACTTAACCCCTGTGCAGCCCTAACCTTAACCATAAGTAACCAAACAAAATACAACTTTTTTGGCATTTTTACACACACACACACACACACACACACACAACCACGCACGTACACATCATCATCATCATCATCGCACAGCTTGGGTTAATCAGACTCACTTGGTTCACCTATCTGCATTTTATATGATGGTGGGAGGAATCCCACACAGCATAAAGAGAACATGCCAGCAGACATGCCAACTCTGGAGCTGTAAGGCAGCATGTCATCCAGCACTATAGAGGCAGCATGCCACCCAGCATCACGGAGGAAACATGCCAACCAACATTACAGAGGCAGTATGCCACCCAGCACTACAGAGGCAGCATGTCACCCAGCACTATAGAGGCAGCATGTTACCCAGCACCATGGAGGCAACATGCCATCCAGCACTATGGAGGCAACATGTCACCCAGAACTACAGAGGCAGTATGCCACACAGCACTATAGAGGCAGCATGCCACCCAGCACTATAGAGGCAGCATGTTACCCAGCACTATGGAGGCAACATGTCACCCAGCCCTACAGAAGCAGCATGCCACCCAGGACTACGGAGGCAGCATGCCACACAGCACTATAGAGGCAGCATGTTACCTAGCACTACAGAGGCAAGATGCCACCCAGCATCACAGAGGAAACATGCCACCCAGCACTACAGAGGCAGCATGTCACCCAACACTATGGAGGCAGCAGCAGAATCGTGACACCGTGAATATGACAGATCAGAAATATTTAGGCTGTTGAGCTGAGATGTGAAGTAATTGTGAGTAATTCTGGTGGCTTTACAGGAGTTGGAGTTTAGGAGAAACTTTCTACCCCAGGTTTAGTCTGCTTCAACACTGAAATCCACACACCAAATAACTCTGGCCCTTTTATTGTACTTTTAAAAGACATGTATGTAAGTACATGTAAGTGCCCGTCTAGAGCAGCACAATTCAGTTTTATTCTTTTACTATTTTCTCTTTGTTACTAAACACAAACGAGGCCATAGTGTTTGAAGCTGGGCAGCATTGTGATGGAGTGTAATGGTATGATGAATCAGACGGAGGTCTGCGCACAATGTGCTGATTGGTCATTTAGTAACTGAGCCAAAACAGAACATAAAACTCATAATCAAGAACAGGAAGTTAGTAACAGGACCATACAATAGCAGAACCAGAGTTAAAATCACAGTCGAGGCAGTAAGATAGCAGATGTATGTCAACTATCAAATTTAGCGGCAGGAGAAATGCTCAGTATGGAGATTAACTCACAATACCTCACAAGGAAGTAATGAAAACTGATTCCATGGGATCTACTACCCAGGTGCACTTCATAAACAGCTAAGGATGATCAGGGAAGGGTGACCGGTACTGCCAAAAACTCAGACTGGATCCTGGATTCGGAAAGGACAGGTCAGGCCCTAAGACAGCATGCACTAGAGCAGTGTTTCTCAACTCGGTCCTCAGGGACAAACAGTCCACTTTTTTGCTCCCTGCCAGAAAGTCCACATTTTTGCTCCCCAAGGAAGGTTTGAGAAACTGCACTGGAGGCAGGACAGTTAGGGACAGCAGGACACCTGTGCTAGTTTCACAAGCAGCAGAGCTTTCGGCAAAAGCTTCAGACTCTCCTATTTATGGTCTAGACGTGCTTGGATACAGTGGAAGAACCAGTTTCTGACTTTTTTGTTTCTGATATTATGCTGGTTTGAATATGTGGATAACTTTCATGCACCTGTGAGGTTTTGTAAAGTGCACAGGGGCACTCTGATTTGCCCACAGCCCACTCACATCTTTCTCTTTATTATTGATGTGTTTCCAGCCATTTCAGGTTAATACATCCCTCAGAAATCCCTATATAGCCGCTGACATGTAACGATATTAAAAGCCGTTATTAGTTAGTTGTGTGTTGTGATTATGTCAAGAAGTGTGTTTTGTGCATTCTGGACTGTCCATGTATGAATGCAGATAGAGCTCTGTATTAGTAATTTGAGGAACATCTCAGACCTGCCTAATTAGTTGATTAAGCCCCCCCCCCCAAAGACACAGTCACATGACAAGGATGTCCATTCATTTCACCTAAACCTAATTTCTTATTGTCTACAATTGGGTCCCAGATACCTACCCAGATTCTGCTGGTGGAGCCGCATACCAGTGTAGCCCTTCCCAAAGCACTGTTCCTGCTTACTCTTCCTCATGTTGGTCTCTTTGATCTGATGCCACAATAACCTTCTTTTGCTTACATCCCCTCCCATCTTTCTGTTAAATCCACCTCCTCTCCTCACTCCATCACTGTGTCATGTGGTCCATATCTCCGTTCCAACCACAAAGTTTGTCTGCATACTTGTATTATGCTCTTAACTAATTTTAATAACTTTTTGTCTTTACTGATTAATAGAGCAGCTATTTTTATGCACATGTATGTTGGGATTTTAGACTCCAGGGCTTGATGTGACCCTGATCAAGATAAGGGGGTAAGAGATGGATGGAGGTCTGTGGTAGGATGTCAGCGTGTATCTCTGTCATTAGGGCTCCTGTCCTCTGGCTGCAGTCAGGTTACCCTCTTTGTGTGTTTATCAGCTCAACACTGTGTTGTAATGTATTTATGGGTTAGGAGTAAGTAGCTTTAGGAGAAACACCCAAAAATGAAGCTGTGTCAGTTTATGTATGTCAGTATCGAGGAGGATCAGGAGATCCAGAGAAGACAGAAAGGTCCATGGGAGTCAGAAGCAAACAGTCAGGAGATCCAGAGGAGACAGGAAGGTCCATGGGAGTCAGAAGCAAACAGTCAGGGGATCCAGAGGAGACAGGAATCCCCCAGATTTTGGTTAATCTTGAATTCTTGTGAGCTGCTCTGAAGCAAATCAGGTAAAAAGAAGGAACAAAGCACTAGAACCTCCAGGTGGTTGGGATCACCATGTGTCGCCAGTCACTTATTGGCATCAATAGCCAATGGTAGCCAATAGAAAGCGGGCAGAAGCACTTCCTGCTTGGCAGGGAATGCTAGGCCTGCCCGATGCAGGGCTCGGAGCCTCCTGCCTCCCTCAGCCAAGTGAAACCGGCTGCTCTAGATGCCAGAATGGCAGTGGAATGGG